TGGCTACTGCAGTCTTAGCGATCCACTACACTTGCTTACGCATCTGTTCCCCAATTTCTGATTTCCTTCACCTCCTTTTAACTCCCACCCCAACTTGAATCAGTTCTGGAGGAAACAGGTTTCCTTCCTCACTTCCCCTCCATCTCCTCTCTCTCTCTCTCTCTCTCTCTCTCTCTCTCTCTCTCTCTCTCTCTCTCTCGCCCACTCTCCCTCCCTCCCTCCCTCCTTCTCCCTCCCCACTCTCTCCTCGACTTCTTACAAGGGCCAGGCACTGGGCTAGTGCCTTCATTATTACAATGATTGATCCATTTTTATGTTCTCTTTTCTTTGACTGCTGGGGTGTGGCGGGCGGGGGGGGGGTAGACAAGGGAATAAAAGGAAAGACCACTTTTAGAAGAACAAATTGGAACTGTCTGACAGGAAAAGAAGACCAGTAATGCAGTCATCCCTGAAGGTGTTCAAACACAGGGAGACTGAAGGACACTGCTTAGAGCTGGTTCTATAGGAATAGCGAAAAACAGCTTTGTTGGTTGGAATTTTCCATGGATTGGCTTATTGAGTGGTGCTTTGGAATTCCAGTGAGACAGAACCTGGGTGGCAGTTCCTTCATGGAACTGTTGGTTTGTGTGGGGAAAGAACAGGACATGTGCTCAGAGCAAGGGCTTGGTACAGAGCGCCGATTGCTTGCCACCAAATAAGTCTTTGTCGGAGCTCAATCTGCTTCTGAATTTGTCTGGAATCCATTCTCAGCAGCACCATCTGTCCACGATTGTCCTGCCATCTGACCATTTACCCTCTGTCCATCCCCCTCCTCTGGGCACTCCTTGTGTGAGAGTCCACCCATTGTCCAACCTGTATAAACTGAGGCCGAGGAGACTGGACATGGGAGGTGGGAGTCCTTCCAGTGTGTTGGCATTCAGGGCCAAGATGTGTCTGGGGAGACCCACCCAGCCTCACACAGAACCAGGGGAGAGACCATGTGGCTGAGCCAGAGCCAGATTGTGCCCCAGGCAATGTGATGGCTTCACAAATAATATTGATGCCTTTTGTTTGGAAACTCTTTGTGGAGGCTTCCCACTTCCCAATGAGCCACGCTAAACTCCCCCAAGCCACTTGGCCTTTCGCTCAGTCCTGCAGCCAACTGTGCAAGCAGATGAGGGGCTCTGAATGCTAATGACGGGAGCGGCTGGCATTCCTGAGGCACCCCGGCTCTGGGAACCCCGCCTTTGTTGCTAAGGAGTGTTGGAACTGTAGCTGAAAGGCTCTCAGAGACGAGGGAGTGAAGAGAGGGCGAGAAGAAAGACGAGCATTTGTTTTCAGAGCTTCACAGTTCTCTGGCCAGTTCCAAAGCTGTCCGATTTCTGATCCAAATTAGAATATCAAATATCGTTATTGTTTCTCTTAATGATCTTGGGAAATTCCTCTCAAGAGTCAGCAAGCTCTTAGCAAACTCTTTGGACAGCACGATCTGTGCAGTTGGGTTTCGACTTACAGCCACAAGTCCTTTATCCCCGGACCCAGTGGGCCTGGGAGAACTAGAACAGGGCAAAAAGCTAGAGGGTCATCAAAATATTCATGTGGGGGTTCCATTGCTCAGATTTTTTCTAGGTGCCCACTTGGTGGCGAATCTGGGCTCTGTGCTGGGGACCAAAATCAGGAACACCTTGGTCCTGCCTTGTTGTGACCTCTAGACTTGCTGAGAGTGAGCATACAGCTTCCTGCAGGTGACTGTTGGCCTGGAAGTTGTGTACTGGATTTTAATCCTGGCTCAGTCACTCACTACGTGAGTGTAAGTCCTTTGGCAGGTACGTTTACCATCTGAAACTCAGCTTCTCATCTGTAGAATGGGCACAGTCACTCCAACTTTGTGGGTTCTGTGAGGAGTAGGTGCAGGTGAGACAATGGTCTCTCCGCCCTCCAGGACCACACAAGCAGTGAGCCAGCTGTTGGCTGGAAGGTGCCTTTACCTCCAACAGTCACTTAATGATTTAATTATTGATGGGTAATCAAAAACGCTATATAAGACTAAATTAGTAAGCCAGTTTCCCCTTGTGGTGCAAGTCTATGTGTTGGGGATAATGCCAGGCAATTTGCACCTACTATCTTCTCTAACAGGTGCGCCCCCTATGGGGTAGGTGTTGAATTGCTGGGTCACACATCAGGGAGTCTGCCTGCTGAGCTGGGGAGCTCCAGCCTCTCTAACATTGGCAGTGCTCTTTCCATCCTTAGATGCTAAGCCTTTTGGGCAATTGGGGCGGGCACAGTTGACACCAAGTCTTTCCAGGGCGTACTGGAGGTTAACCAGTTTACTGCACACAGACACCCATTGAGAGAAGATCTCCTGGAGAAAGCCGGCCAAGACCACAGACGCTGGACTTGCTCTGCCAGTGTTTATGAGAAGTTCACAATGACACTGCCATAGCTCCCTGCAAAACACCACTGATCCGAGAAAAAGAGCCAGAAAAGTAGCAGATTTCCCATAAGCAAAGCACATAGAAACGCCAGCACAGAGGTCATAACGATATTCTGAAGCACAATGACCTCAGAGCATTTTTCTGTTTTTGTCCAGTGGTCTGCCTCCTGGCCAGGCATCATATAACCTCTACTGCCCTATGGTCACCTTGGAATCTAAGCTTTTCTCTAAGTTGAATTTGATTTTCAATATTTACTCAGAGGAAAAACTACTGAGTATTGACTTCTGCAATGTACACATATTGCAAATGCACACATACACACACACACGCACACACACACACACACACGCATCCTAAGAGTAAAGCAATGGAGAACTCCAGAAAGATGATCCAGTAGCAATTGTCATTTGGCCCTAGACAGCACATGTCTCAGTATTTGCTTCTATGGTAGTGTAGCCAGACCTCCCTGTGTCATCCCACATGGACCACCATTTAAGCTAAAGCTCAGCCACAAAGGGAAGGCGCAGAAGCATGGTCCCCACCTCCTATGGGCAAGGGACTCCCCAGAGCTGTTGTTTCCAGTGTTCATAACACTCCCACAAATGCGTATGATCACTCCTGTTTTATAGATGAAGAAACTGAAACTCAGGGAGATCAAACCACTTGCCAGCACTACCACCTATGAAGTGCCAAGTTGGGTTTTGGCTGGTTCTGAAGTCTACTGTTTTTTCTCTTCTCTGTTGAAGTGTGGGTGGTAGTGGGGTGACTGTGGTTCCAGGACTGGCCATGGTTGGTTCAGGCCAAGGAGGATTCATTCAGCTAACACCACAGGAACACAGGGCAGTTGACACCTTCAGGCTGTATTCTCCAGGACCCCTTCACCCTGTATTCTACCTTGGCGGAGACCTTCTACTTGTGTGGTTCAGTGGGTGCTCTGGTGCTAGAGAAGATGTTGGACCCCGAGGACTGGGCAAAGTATAAGCATTGCTCTTTAGGAGTTTATGATGTAGTCGAATAATCGCAGTTTCATACTTAGGACCTCGCTTCACCTCACCTCCTTTTCCAATCCAATTCCCCACAGAGATGTAGGCTCTGCCAGGACATTCTTAATAGCTTCTGGTTGGTGCTTTCCAGAAGGTCCTGTCCCTCTGGCATTAAACTATCAAAAAGTTAGTTATCTGACCAATTTTCCATTTACTTCTCCGAACCTCTATTTTCTCCACCTGTGAAATGGAGCTGAAAAATCTGTCTTTTGTTTTTTTAAAGATTTATTTATGCATACAGGAACTGGGGTACAGGCTAGAGGTGCAGGGGGTGAAAGGATTCACCAGAGACAGAGTGGGAAGCAGAACAGGCAGATTCACGGAAAATAGACTGCTGAGGGGAGAAGCAGGGGAGACAGGAGAGGTCTGCTGCGCCATCCCTGGCTGGGGATCCAACTTGTGCTGCAGTGGCTATGATTAGCTTCACAGTGCTGTGCATAACCCCTTGCACCACCAGGGAGGCCCCTGAAAAACCTGTCTTATTGAGGTGTTCAAGTTGGATGAAACAAAATATGTCAGATTCTTGGCACACAGTGCTTGCCCAATACATAATGAATTATTTGACACAGTCTAATTTTTCTCGTCTTGCATTTTTTTTTTTTAGCAAGTTATGTCTGTTTGATTCCTTCTCTGACCTAAACAGCAATTGGCAAGGCCAAGTTTCTAGAATGTTTGGGAGGTGGTCAACCTGCCTCAAGAGGCATTTTTCTGGGCAGCTCAAGAATTATAAAAACTAAAGTAGGTCCATCTAAAAGAGATCATTTATTTTAGTTGACCAAGTTACTTTTTCCATAAGGTTTTGTTCCTAAGATATGAGACACCCCATTAAAGAATGTTGATAAAAGGAGATGCTAAGGGACTTTATTCCAGGAATCTCTTCTCAAAACTTGCATCCAGTACTCTGGGAAAATGTCCCCGGAGACAGTGCAATGTCATCTAGTTGCAGAAGGAAAATATTGAATTTGTTCAGAAAAACTCACTTGGAATTCTGCTTCTACTGCTTAGAGTTAAGATAACAAATTGTCAATACTTTTGTTTGCTTTATGATGTGAAAATCCTTCCTAGAATAGTCACTAGAGAAAGGACTGACTTATTCATCCCAAACAATGTTTTAGGTCTGCTATGTGCCAGGCATTTCTGGGAGTTGACAACATCTGCCTGTTTTCACTATGTGGACTATTAGGATTTGCAAAAATGATTTGATCAGCAATACAGAATTGCATATATATATACACACATATAAATATAAATAGGTACATATATAGAATATAGAATCATGTGATAGCAATAACAAGCTTTATTAGAACAGAAGGGGATTTTAAGTAATTGGGTTCTTGCCACCTCAGAAGAGAAAACCTGATCTCTCTGAGCTGCTCAAGAGTGACTATCATGGCCAGAAACCAAGTGCAAGTCCGAAGCGTCTACAATAGCTGCATCAGCCCCAACTCTGACAGTGCCTCCTCCATTACACTCGGGCTGGGGAGAAACACATGTCTGGGTAAAAAAGGAGATAAAGGAAACATCTGTTCTCACAATATGGGCTTGTTATCATAGCTCCTTTAAGTACCGAAGTGCTGGCTCCAAGAGCATATTTTCTCCCGCACGGAATCTGCGCAAGGCCTGGTCGATTTTCCGAGGGCTCAGGGAGAGGTTGTAAATGAGATTGTAGTTGTGAATGAGGCGCTTGGCTCGTTCCTTCTCCAGGACTCCTGTGATTGGGTTGGGGTGGGAAGTTTTCGAAAGAGGAAGGAGAGTGGGGGAGGAAGAAGGCAAGATATTAGCCTGAATGACTTTGGACTAAACATGAAATGCTAATATTTTGAAACTGTAAGTTTCATGAAATTAAGAGACACAGTAAAAACACCTGGCTACGCATCAGAGGTATCACGAGGAATTTGATGGTGATTTTGAGGAGAGGAGATGGGTCCAATAAAACCCATAGATAGACTCTAAAGCAATTTAAGCTTGGTCTTTGTAGCCGTAAAACTTCAAAGGCTAATTTTTGAAACAGGTGGGGTGCCTGCTAAAAACAATTCCTAATTGTTCTGGTTTATTTTTATCTTATTGATATATCCAAACATGTTCCTAAACAAGCAGGATTTAAACACGCCTTTTTATGTGCTTCTGGAATGTATTTGCTGTGACTCCCTCTGGCTTTCAGTGTGATCACAGGTAAACGATCTAACTTGTCATGGTTCAGTCTAAGTTTGTGTCATAAACTAGGGTAGACACTGGTGCCCATGTGTTATATATACCAGTGCCAGAGCCAATGTCAACGTACTTCCATGTTATTGTAGGCAATGGTGCTTTGGGAGTAGAGTTTAAGTGTTGAACATGGCACCAGCAAAGTTCGATAACTCATTCTTCAATCCCTAATTGCAAGTCTTCTTGTGTCAAATACTGTGCTTGGGAGGACAGGGGATTTAGAAAAATGTTCTATTACTTCAGGAAGCTCCCCTACCAGTTGGGGCCATAAGGTACAGGATATTAACTAAAGTGCACTCAACAATAACAACTGATAGTTAGATAGAAAATTTGACATGATTTAGGCAGCACTCCAAGCACTTTACTAACATTAACTCATGTAATCTTTACAACACTTCATTTTACAGAGGGAGAAACTGAGGCAAGAGATGGTAAGTCCTTGCCCAAGGGTTCTTGAGCTTATGCATTGAACCACTATACTATGTTATAGAAGGAGGGGAAAGAGATTTTTTTAACGTAGGGCTCATATTGCTCCCTAAACACGTTACTTTGAATTATGACGGTCTACACCACAGGTAGCAATGAGAAGCTTTTAAAATCCCTCATAGGGATGAAGGGCATCTTGCTTGCATCCTGCCCTTCTAATCTATACTGTGAGGACTGTAGTAATGACTGTGAAATCTTTTTTCAAGGATTCCAGAGTTGGTCCCCTGGTCATTCTGTAGAAAGCCATTACCAATCCTTCAGAGTTGGGTTCTTGGATACTTGTTTCTGCTTGGGCTACCAAGTGCTGTTCATATTTTAAAAGTATGAGGCTTGTTGAGCATGATGTTCCCTTCTGAATTACTTCCTAATGGATGCTTTTAACAGTGGAGTACACAGTGGTGAGGTCCTATTGTAATTTTTTCCATTCTATTCTATTCTATTCTATTCTATTCTATTCTATTCTATTCTATTCTATTCTATTCTATTCTATTCTATTCTATTCTATTCTATTCTATCCTATCCCATCCCATCCCATCCCATCCCATCCCATCCCATCCCATCCCATCCCAGTTTATTTACTGTTTCTTCCTTTAAAAAATATTTATTTATTTATGCATACAAGAACTGGGGTCCAGGCCAGAGGTGTGGGGGGTAAGCGTATTCACCAGAGACAGAGTGGGGAACAGAACAGGCAGACTGACTGAAATACACTGCTGAGGGGAGTAGCGGGCGAGTCAGGAGATGTCTGCTGCGCCACTTGGGTCACCTCCGTGGCCAGGGACTGAACTCGTGCTGCAGTGGCTGTGGATAGCTTCATAGGTTGCGGCTTAACCCCTTGTGTAACCAGGGAGGTCCCATTTACTGTTTATTCTATTCAAGTTTGTCTATAGCTCATCTCTCCTATCAGAATATTGGTTCTTTCCTGCACAGAATTCTGTCTCTAGGTAGACTAAATTGTATCTCTGCAGTTCACTGAATTGGGTGATGGCTCTCGGTATGGCCTAGGTTTGATTCCTCAGGACATTTCCTTCTATTCTACCTTTGAAAATGTAAGTCATAAGCTTTGGAGAAAGTGAGGAATTTAATATACTGAGCCCTGGTTTCCTCAACTTTGAAACAGGGACAATTAAATTGTATAAAAATCAATAAAATAACAAGCCATTAGAATAGTGCCCCAAACTAGTAAGCACACATTAATACAGGTATTATGATAGAATATTATCACAGTTCTATATTATTTTATATTATTTAAAATATAAGCATGTATTTTAATAGGAAATGATGAAAATACATTATTTAGCTTCTATGTTAATTAAAAATTAAAAGTAATGCCAGAAATCCATCTAGGAATCACCACTAGTGTGTAGGAGCTATTGTCTGCCATCTTATAAACTTTACCATTGGAAGGGATTCCTAGTATCAAACAAAAGTCCACCACCCTGAAATTTGTATCTGTCTCATTTACTGTCATCAGGGGATAGCAGGGTAGCTGCAGAAAATAACCCTGACAATCCACCTACATGTTGGAAAGTCTGTCCTTGTCCAACAGAACCAGGATGAAGTAAATAAATAAAAGAACTTCTTTAATATTTATTTCATTTTACAGTGTGCAAAAGACTTGAAAATCTTATTTGTCCTTTCTCAAATCTAGGAGGTATGTTTTATTGTCAGTCCTATTTTACAGATGAGAAAATGGACTTGGAGAATATAAGTGACTGGCTTTCAGGACTTAGTAGTTGGTAAAGATTGGACTTCAATCTAAGTCTTCTGTGAAACAACAACAACCACCACCAACAAAGCAACAAGCAAAACCTCATACTCCTTCTGGAATGTCGTGTGGCAATGGGAAGTATAGTTATGGTGTAGTGGGAAGTCCAATAGAACTGTTTTTCCAATAGCTGTTACTTTATCACTTTGAACTTGGCTTTCTCCTCTGTAAGTAAGGACAGTAATCCCTTCAGTATGTCGTTGATGTGAGCAGTTAGTGATGCAGTGTATGTAAGGTCTGGAACCATGCAGAGAATGTCCTTGAAGGTTCTCATGGCCTCTGCCTCCTTGAGCTCTAAAATATTTTCTAGTTCACTGGGAAAATTCCAAATCTACCATTTACCCAAACATTTATCTCAACCACCCTTATTTCTTTAGAAATCATGACAAGTACTCATAGTCATTCCTTATTCTTTCTCCTCAAGGATATTTTCTTGACAATCCCCATTAGAAAATAAGCACAGAGTAGGTTCCCAGAAATGCTAATTTGATGATGGATGGTCTGCCTTCACCCTGGATGAAGAACACCCTGGCCTACATATTTCCTTGCACATAATAAAGAACAGTGATTCATCAATGGGCAAAGTAGGTATCATCTGCTCTGTGTCTAGAAGAGGGCTGTGGTGGTCTGCTAAATACTGTGGTTAATAAACCACCAAAATGACCTCAGTTAATCCTCTTTCCTCATTAAAGATTGTTACAGATGTCCCAAGACTGGCTGACACATTCCTTGGCTGTTAAGGAACTAATGAATTTCATAGAAACAGAGAAAACAAGCATAAATAGTGAAGAGGCCATGAGAAAGGCATTCCAAATCTGCAGAAATCTGCCTCCAAAATCAACAAAACTCCACTTTTCCTCAGAACAGTTCAGGAGTATGAGAAAGGTCCCAGTCAGTGGGGAGTCTCTTAGCAACTAAGTTTATGATCCATCATCCATCACTGCAATTCAGCATTTATTTTTTTGGAAATGTCTTTTCTCTCTATTCAGTTTCTTGTTTTGTTTTTGTTTGTAACTCCATCACTGCTCTCAGTGAATGGCTACCTAGACTCATGAATATTTCAATAGCTTTTTGATCCCCTATTCTTCAGTATCTTCCCTAGTTTATCCATCTTAGCTTCCATTTTATTCTCCTTTGGTGAAACTTTCACAAACACAGGGTAGAGAATGAAGCCTCAGGATTCATAATAGGGTCTCAACTTCACTTTCCAATCCAACTCCCAGTCTTGTTTTTCTCATTTTTCCCCTCATTATACTCATTGCCACCTTCTAACCTTTGCAGAAGATGGTTTCAAGCTAGGGATGACCTATCCAACTATCCAAAGTCTACCTTTCCTCAAAGGTTCAGCTCAAACCCTCTTTTCCATGGAGTGCATTCTGAGTTCCCCAGTTCACATTAGATGATGAGCTTCTTTTATCTCTTCACTCTTTCATTTGAACTCTCTCACTTGTTACTTTGATTATAATACCTGCCTTATTTCTTTTTATTGGTGTTAACTTATCACCTGTCTCTGTATCTTACTGAAAAACACCCTTAGGTCAGTGAACAAGTTACATCCTATCTGGCTTACCTCCCACACAAAGCAGGACTCATAACAGATGTTCAATAAATGACTTCCCTATTCAGCAAGATGAATTTTTCATTAAAACTTTTCACTTTCTACTCTCTTTGGTGTAATTATTACAAGTTTGGTTATTTTAGGATAGTTATACTTGATGTAGTTTAGAATTAAGTTGCTTTGGAAATTCAGAAAAAAACAAACAAACAAACAAAAAAACCAAAATCAGAAACACAGGATAGAGGGCTTCCTCTGGTGGCACAGGCGGTTGAGTGCTGTACTATGAAGCTATCGGCAGCCTCTGCAGCGCCAGTTCGATCCTGGCCAGCCAGCGAGGGTCCCACATGGCGGGGCAGACCTCTCCTGTCTCACCTGCTGCTCCCCTCAGCAGTGTGTTTCAGTCAGTCTGCCTGTTCTGTTCCCCACTCTGTCTCTGGTGAGTCCTCTCACCCTCCCGCGAATCTGGCCTGTACCTTGGTTCTTGTATAAATAAATAAATAAATCTTTTTAAAAAAAACACACACACAGAACAGAAAGACAGATATTGCTATTGTTATACTATCACTCCTAGACAGCACTAAAGTCTATACTAGATTTGTTAAAATTATTTATTTTTTCCAGTTTTTTTGAGATAAAATGGACATATAACATTGTGTAGGTTAAAGGTGTACAATGTGATGATTTGATACACCTATATTGCATAATGTTTACTAAAAATAAGGTTAGTTAACACATATTTTATTTCACACAATTATTCTTTCGTTGTTATGGTAAGAACATTTAAGTTCTACTCCTACAGCAACTTTTGAATATGCAATATGATATTGATAATTAGAGTCACCATGTCCTGTATTATATCCTTAGAATTTGTTTATCCTATAATTGAAAGTTTGTGCCCTTTCACTAGTATAATCCTCCCCACCCCCTCGGCAACCACCATTACACTCTCTGTTTGTACGAATGTGACGTTTTTAAGTTTCCACATATAATACATTAAACTCTTCTTGAACTGCAGCATGTGATTAAACAATTTCAGTCCCAGTGCTTTTGTATCTCTTTTCTATTCGCCAGATCTCTGACCTAGTCCTGGAATGAATTCTTTCTTACTTGGACAGTATCCCTTTTCTTGCTTTATCATACCCCTGCCTTGTTTAGAAGCACTCAGTGGTATTCACCCTCTTTGAATTAATTTCAAATTCTCTGACCTGGCATTTAAGTACTTTCATGATCTAGCCCCATACAGTATGTCTACCTTTATAATTTAATATTTCTAATAACCATATATTCTAGCCAGACCACAATTCTTATATTTAAGTTTCACATAGGACATGATGTATGGCCAATTTGCACCTTTGCCAGAAAGGGCCTTCTATGTTATACCTTTGTAAAGAACTCCCTGATTTATTTTAAATGATCAATCTTATATTAATATATCCTCTCCTATCCACCTCACTAGGAAGGGATTCTCCTTTTTCTAAATGCCCACAGAATATTCTCAAACACTATTTCCCACCCTCCATGTTGAATTTAGTACATAGTTATTTATGTACACTCATTTGTAATATATTTTATGGAGAGATGGTGATAAACTCCCAATTAAAGAAATGCAATATATCAGCTATGATAATGGGTGCTAAAAATCTCTGTGAACCCATAAAAGGTTGGTCTACAGCTGTCAGGGGAAATAAGAGCAGTCTCAGAGGAGTTGAGCTTGGCTTCTACCATAAAAGATGTTTGGGCATTGATTAACCAGATGTACAAAATGGAGAGTTAGGCAGAGAAAGGGCAGAAAGTTTCTCAGAAAGCTCAGGTGGAGGGTAGAGGGTCAGAAAAGGCACCACCACTGAAGAAAGCAAGGCACAGTTGAGGAAAGCAAATTATTCTTTATGACAAGGCAGGATATGCTGACACAGTAACAAGCAAAGCAAGAGACCAGTCAGGAGGACAGAGACTAGTTTTGCCTTGCTTAGGAGTCTGGAGTTCAGCCTGTGAGTTGGCAATGCTAACAATCAGCAGAATTACAACGCTGGACCATGGGTTAGACTTAGGCAATAGAGGAGAGGAAGGATTGGAGTCACAGAGAAACTGTAAGCTGGGGATTCATGTAAGATTTGATTTTGTATTTTCCTATTGTGCTGAACATAGTACAGAGCACATGGTTTACAGAAAAGTTGCATTTGTTAATAAATGAAAGACAACAAGGTATCCATTTTTGGATGAGAATACAAATAGAAGGATGTATCAGCTTTAATTTCCATACTTCACCTGTATGGCTCAGATCACACAGGTAGAGGGCATTTTCTAGCTTCCTGAACCTGTCGATCCATGCTTCACTTTCTTCAGGCTCATTCTTCATCACTGGTGTCATGAAAGGTTGGGAGACTGGCCTGATCTTCAGAGACGCGTTCAGAGGTTCTTTGGGTGTTGAAGTCTCAGCAGGAGGGTTTTCTGGCTCCAGCAGCTCCTCTGGTGTTTCCTATTGAAATGACACAGACCTCTTACTGGCAACACCTTCACCACTCAGAGCTCCTCCTGTCCCTTAGCCAAAACTGAGGCCACACAACTAGCAAAATTTATTGATGGTCTGGTTTAGTAGAGTTGGGAGGGTGAGTTTCAATCCTCAGTGCCATAAGACCGCATCTGCTAAGTCTTGCAGGACATAAACTATTATACTGAATTTGTTTTAAAAGAGAAAGGTGAAATCACGATTTTTGTTCAGTTTACTATTCTGATGAAACAAAGGTGTTTGTAACTGGCTGACTTTTCGTGATGTGCTACTCTGTTTTATACCAGTGGAATCCACAGAGGATGATCTTTAGACAATACTTGTATGGTCTTATATTGTCTCAACGTCTTGTTGGAAAAACCTCTGGATCATGAGTGTGAGGTTCTTGAAAAAGAGTGAATGAAAGAATAATGAGATTAGCTCAGGCTCATGGGCTTTTACAGGGGCCATAAAGCACCTCTCATTTTGCCTTTCTGGTTCATTTAACAAAAGATGCTGTAGCCCAGTAAGAGGAAGTTATTTACTAAGACCAGACAATGAATGACAGGCACAAAACTAGAACCACAGTGTGAAGGTTAGTTCTAGCTCATAACTCCATGTTCAGTACAAAATAAAAAGATTTTAGAACAAATAGACAAATGAGTTGCAGCAGAGTGATGAAAGACATCCTGTCACCTACCCAGTCAAGAGAGGACATCTATTGTTTGTTCTACCCAACTCCACTTTTCCAGGAATTGTCCCTCCTTCTGAGTCACGTGGCTACTGAGAGAACACTGTGCTCTGAAAGCATAGTGTAGGACTGGGCACCTAGTGCAAAAAACGGGTCAAAAATCCATTATCCAGGAATTTTGGAAAGATATGCGAGAAAAAGACTAAGGTAGGCAAATGTAGATCATTTCACGTGGTTCTGAGTGAGAAGTTAAAACTCTAGCATATAGTGTTTTACTCTGTGATTCAAAAATGAGAGGAAGCTACTCTGAAGAGAGAGAGAAAGGAGAGAGGGAGTAGGAAGAGGAAATGGAGAAGGAGGAGGAGGAGGAAAGGAGGCAGGGAATGAGAATATGAAGCTGACAGCAGAGAACAGAAAAGACAGAGGAAGTCATGTGGATGACCGAGTGTCTGATTTTAGTTCACTGTGATGTCTGTCCTTAGGTAGCCTGCATGCTACTCTGTTTTTCCAATAAATTAGGTTTGCAGAGTTTCTTTTGTTAAATGCAACCCTAATAACCCTAACTAATATGCCATAAAATTATGCCTCTAATTTTTGTTTACCAGCTATGCTCCCTTAACTTTCAAACACCCGAGCTTCTCCAGTTTTGTAACTTTGTCTCACACTTCTCACATTTAAGCTGTGAAAAACCCATAGTGTTAAGGAATGGTAATTATAATTAGAAGCTAAACTTTCAGTTTGTTAACAAACATGGATTAAGTTGCTGCTGGGGAATATTAAATATTCTTTTGTTTGAAATAATAGAATGCTGTTTGAAAATATACCCACATGGGTGAACAGCACCCAGTAACTTTTAAGAGATTTATACAATAGAATTCTACATGGAAAAAATCAATTTTGGGAAAAGCTGAAAGTTTTTATAAAATACTGATTCTGATACATTTTACAACTTTGGACTACTTTAGATATTTGAGGAACACTTTAGATAATCTACCCAGGCAAATGAATTTTTGCATTTATTTTGATGGATTGATTTTAAAGAGTTCCAAGATATCTTGGATTTAAGAAATTGACACTAAGTAGATTCACATTTCTTTAAATAGTTCAATACTCTTTGACCATGAAAGACAAGAAAAGGGAGCATTTATATGGACATGAATTAGGCTCAACTAAACAGGTAAGTAACTAACTCACTAACTAATTGACTGACTGATTGACTAACTAACATTCCCTATATTGTTTATGTACCATTCTGTTTGGATGAAATACAAATGCCTTGCCTCACATGTAAGACTATTCAAGTTCCTGTTCTTAGTTATATTTTTTCAATCCCATCTATAAGTCTTTTTCCTCTACATAAAGCAGAAAATGGGGCTGTTTTATGCCTTTGGGCAATTCTCTGTATTGTTAAAGTCCTTCTTGTCACCTATGCTTTGATTGGGTGGGCTCCTTCTTATGCCCCAAGACCCAATTTATATTTCATTTCTTGGAAGAAGTTTTACCCAACAACCCAAGGTTGGTTTAGAGATGATTCACCATAGTTTCTTTATCTGTCACAGCAGCAATTACTAATACTGTAATTACCTACTGGAAAAGCTCTCTTCTCTACTGAGCTCTGTAGATTCGGCCTGTGAGATAGCCATTTATATATGTTCTAGGTTTAGTTACTGGCTGGCACATAGTAGGTTATCAAGACATGTTTACTGAATGAAAAAAATGAGTGAATGAATGATTTTTTTGTGGGATAATAAGAAACCTCTTCTTTAGTTCTCCTTTTGAAAAAGTGGGACAATGAATGCTAATTGTACAGGAATATGAGAAAAATCAATTATTGCAGGGATGGAGTAAAATCCTTAAACAAGAGGCAAAATAAAAGAGCAAAGTATATTTTTTATAATCTTATTCACAACAGACTTAACACTCAAGGAGAAAAGCATTTGCTGTTGTTTCTTGCATGGCAAGAGGCTTGCCAAAATGGATACTATTTTCTAAAATATTTCGAAGTGTGAAGTGCATGAAGAAGCCTCCCATCATTTTAAGATGAATTATGCTCTAATCCGGGCATTTAAAAAACAACAACAACAGAAAAACTCAGGCTGTTTTTCAATTCTGTCTGCATCTTCTCCTGGCTGAGTGCTGGGAATATTAAAACGATTTTAACTGCTTGCCAATTTTTTTTTTTTAAAACCAAAAAGCCCATTACATTTTAAAATGTGATGTCTGGGGAAAAGGTCACCCTCAGTTTCTGGAAGCTGGACTTAAAATAAGTCTCATAACCAAACTTTATTTTGAAGCAGCCTGGGGATCAGTCACAGGCTTTTGGAAGACAACTATATTTATGCCACAAGTCAGTTTCTTGGGGCAGGTGGTGAACCCATTCCCAAGAGGTTTCTGGAGGCAGAAACCAGCTGGGGAGGCCTCCCAGGTGGCACAGTGGATTGAGCACAGCGGGTTGAGCACAGCCCTGGGAAGCTCTCCGCAGCCTCTGCAGTGCTGGTTCGATCCCGGCTGGCCGGCGAGGATCCCACATGGCGGGGCAGACCTCTCCTGTCGCACCCACTGCTCCCCTCAGCAGTGTATTTCGTCAGTCTGCCTGTTCTGTTCCCCACTCTGTCTCTGGTGAATCCTCTCACGCTCCCGCAACTCTAAATAAATCTTTAAAAAAAAAAAAAACAGCTGGGGAAGGAAAGAAACAGCACTCTATGAGTTGTTCTGTTTCCCTTTTCTGTGGAAGGAGAGTCTCCCAGTCAAAGCAAGTCTGATGTCAAGGCAATGAGTGAAACCAAAAACCCCAAATGTCGTGTCCCCCAACCTAGCCCATCTCCAATCTCAACAGGCCCGGTGCATACCATATGTCCAGTTCTGCTCTGAGACATCTCAGGAACTTCAGCTGGCACTGGAGTGGCAGTGATCTCCTTTGATTTCTTTCCTGACAAGAAAGAAAAACACAGAAGGATTTAGTTGGTTCTTATTAGTTAAACACATACACATATACACATCCAGGCAAAGAAAATGTTAAAGCTCTGGCTATGAGGTTGGCACCGTGTTGGATGATGGCGACACCCATCACCCATTTTGGTGGACAAGGTGGACAAGAAAGATTTGGTTCCTGCCCTAATAGAGCTCACAAAGGGGAGGTAGGTGTTAAATAACTACTCCAAATTATTATTTAATTGCAGACTACCACAAGTACAACAAAGGAAAAAATAAAAATATTTTAACCTATTTTGGGGATGGTAGGATGGCAAGGAATCAGGGAAGGCCTCTGAGGAAGTGGCACATCACTGACAACCTGGCTAGGTTTTTCCAGGCAAAGGTGATGCTGGGGTGTGCAGCACAGAGTGTTCTAGATAAGCAGAGATAACCCTGTGGTTGACCTTGAAAGTGCTCCTGCAGTTTGAGGAGTGGAAGCAGGCATCTCTCGCCGTGGTTCTGACTCTTAACAGAGAAGCAGACATTGCTGTCCCTTTGGCCACACAGTGTGCACTTGAAGGAAATGGCAACACCTTTATCTTCTCTCTTTCTTTCTCCTTTCAGTGATGAGAGCTCTTGAGTGGAAAGAGGTTTGAACATCCTTCCTAAGCCAGGGATTCTACCGCCCAGGCTGCTGCCCTCATGAATAGAAAACATTTTTTTAAGATACAAGAGAAAGACATGAAGACCTGCTGAAATCTTCTAGGGCTTATTATGGATGTCATTCACTCACCATTCAGTACCTTCCACAGGATGTGGCACTTTTATTAATTTATTTTGCAAATTTGTGTGATGAGCACACAGCACAGTATTCTGGGAGCTTCAGCTTCAGAATTTAGCATAGCTCAAATATACCATCAGCAAATACATATTGGATCTCATTACTTTTAATAAAAATTGTTCAATGAATAAATTTTAAACAGAAGGTGGAGGGTGGAGTGTAACATTGTGGTGGAGAGTAGAGGCTCTGAAGTCAGATATCTTGGGTTTGAGTACTGACTCCTTAGCTGCAGGACCTTGGGCAAGCAACTTGTTTTTGTGTCTGTTTCCATTTCTGCGAAACAGGGATAATGCCCCCTATAAGTCATTGTGAGGATTAAATGGAGTAGAAAATGTAAAGCAAATATGTGGAACATAGCAATTGCTCAATTGTTAGTGCCTAAGAATGTCGCTGGTTTAAGAATGTTTATATAAATACATCAGGGTAAAAAATCTTCTGTTAAACTTTTAACATTGCATCCCTGAATGATTATGATTTTTTTTTTCTATTTTTTGACAGAGAAGACAATGTGATTTCATATTCTTCTCTGCAGTCTCTGCATCCAGCATTGGAATAAGTACTCAGTGCATACTTCTTGACTAAATGAATGACCATGTGCTCTAATTTGGAGTTTAGAAAATAGAGTCACTGAGTATATAATTGTGTTTCTCCAATTCCTTTTCAGGTCCTTGGAGATGAGGGATTTTTCTCAGCACTTCTTGATCTTCCTGTACCTACCCCAGATGCTACATAGAGTAAAACTTAATAGATGCTTAATGAGGACCATGATGACAGTGAGTTAGGACAGTCCCTTCCAGGCAAAACCAAATTAATCCGCTGAAAATTAGTTGTCATGGGAACCCACCATCACCCAGTAGCACTGGCCCTTGTTTATTTCACCCTGTGTATGAAAGAAAAGCTCTTTACTACACATGAAAAAAGGTTGAAGTTACTCTGAATCAGAATTTGAGAATTAAAGGGTTTCAAAAGGCAGAGTATAGCATAGAGGTAGGAGGTCCTGATTCTTCCCTTTACTGGTTATAAATTTTTAGATCCTGATTTTGTCAACTGTGAAAAGGGGATGATACCAGCTACTTGCGATTATGTTGTAGAGATTTAAAAGAAATTACCTACATAAAATACATCATACAAGGAAGATGTTTAATTCAAGAAAATATTCATTATTGTGTTATTATGACTCCTATTATAATATGACCCAGAGCAAATCTAGTTTCCCCAGAGAAGTTAATATTAATTACAATGTGACAGAAATTTTTGGGGACCCTTTTAGAGTAAAATCTGAAATGTAGACTTTTTACTAGTCTACTTTTCTCTACTGTTTGCATTTCTAAAAGTCTCATTAAGGGAAAATATATGCTAGTCTCCTGGTCTCTTTTAAGCTTCCCTTTCTCTGTTCTAATACCTATAAGCATAGAGAAAGGTAATGGTTTGCACATGTAAAAATTGTTTGAGAAACCCAAAGCAGATCTAATTTTTTTTCTTCCTAACTTGCCAGAAAGAATAAATAATAACCATCTGTCTAGTCTGTCAGTTGAAGATTTCTACTGGAGGGAGGAAAAAAAAAAAACAAGCTGGCTTCTAGAGATTTCCAGGTGTTGGAAGGACCAGGTTTTACAGGATTTCCAGTGGATTCTGATAGTTAGGCAGGCAGCCCTCTCTTTCCCTTCCTCCTTCCCAATGACTTGAAAGCAGTGGTCTTCAGAGCTGGCTACATGGCCTGGGGAACTTTAAAACTGTCAATAGTTAGGCACCAATTAACTCAGATCAGACCAATTAACTCAGAATCTTATAGGTGAGAACCCAACTCAGCACTTGTAAAGAATTCCTTAGGTAATTCTAAAGTGAAGCCAAGGTATAGGTAACAAGTGATTTAAGTAAATAACTTATCTCATTAGAATTAATGAATGAAACATCTGTGAGAAGGAAATTAATGTAGGTCAAATATTTATATATGCCAGGCATTTCTCATGTTTTCTTACTTAATCTAAACAATAACTTCATGAGGTGGAAATTATCTCTATTTGGCAGATGAGGAAACTGAGGCAATGAAAGCTTTAGTCACCTACTAAGAACAGAAGTAGGATTCAGTCTGGAGTTTGAACTCATTTATTCAACAAACATTTGAATGTTTGTTCTATATCATATACTATGATATAACAACGAACAAGGCAGACTCTTCTCACACAGTATGTGCATTCCAGTGTTGAGGTCAAACAAACAGATATGTAAAATAATGCCATTAGTGGAAAGAGATATAAACATAACTAAAGACAATTTTAAGACGGAAAGAAATGGCGAGTTACTATTTTAGATATGGAATTCACTGAAGGACTCTCTGAAATAACATATAAACAGAGCCCTGAGTGAAGAAATAAAGGGGAAAGTCTGAGGAAAGAGCATTTCAGGAAAATGAGCCAGGGCAAAGGCCTTGAGGAGGAATGTTGGGTACATTCAAACAAGAGCTGAGAGGAGAGCTTAGCTGATGCAGGATAAAAAAGAGGGAGAAGTGGGTTGAGTGTTCACAGAGCTAAAGTGCCTTCTGGACCATGCCATGTGACTTGCGTAGGTGAGCTGCATGCATCTTAAAGAATTATCATGAGAGACTGCTTCTTGATATAATAAAACTTAGAGAATTACGCCTTTTAAGACTCAACTGGCCTAAAAGAATAGCCTTTAAAGCAATTTTTACTGCTAACAGTGAAGTTAAGCCCTTTACATTTTTGGGATCAACCAGATGAAACCTGAGAAGCAAACTATTCAAGCTAGGAAGGACAGTCAACAGTAGATCTGGGCTATGAGCCTTCTCCAATAAGAAAATAACTGAACTAACCTGTCGGCGTATCAGATGACAAGTCAGAGGAAGCTCTGTTCAGCAACTCAATAAATCTCTGCCATCTGTGCAAGAAAAGGAAATATAATATTGGTGATCAATATCATTGTTCTGGAAGAGTGTGCAATAAAGTTCAAAGTTTATGTTGCTAGTGATAGTGAAGTAGCTTTTTGATACCTGTATCATTTAGGGGTGTTATGCAGGAAACAGAAACCTCTAAAGTATCTCCACTAGAAAGGGATTTAATATAGGGGATTATGTGCCCAACAGACTTTTGCAAGGTCCAGCAGAATGGACGTTGGTATCTGCTCTGAGGCTCAAGGTCAAGCCTCAGCAGATATCTAGGCACCCAGGGAACTACAAGGGATTCAGGCTTATATCTTGATTGCTCTGACCATGAGGTTGATGACTAAGCAGTATAAAGTGTATTTTGGCTACTAGAAAAATTGATGCTTGCCAGGGTCCAGAGCATCTCACTGATAGACCTTAAATCAATCCCAGAAGCTCAGCATTAAGGGAGTTTTGGGAAGCCTATTTAACTTTCTCAAGTGCAAGAAATACCACAACACAAGAAAGTACACAGAGGGGGATAGAAATGGGTGCTTACTGCAAACAGGGAATATTTAGTGAAGTCTGTAAGTAGAGATTGCTTTGATTTAGTGCATGGGAAAATCACAGAGTCACTTAAAGTTTACAAGTACTTTAAGAAAACTTTTATAGTGAAAATGACATATTTACATGCATCATCTCTATGAACCTAGGCTTTTACCTAGGATAATGAAGTCTAATTTCCCATACCCTTCCCTAACCTATGTTGTAACACACCTTGTCTAATTAATCTCAATCCATCACTTTCTTCATTAATCTCTTCTTTCCTGCTCCTCCTTCTACTCTCTGTTTCTATCTCCATGTCTCTTACTAGTTTTTGGTTTTGGTACTTCTGGAAGTTTTATTTTGCCCCATATCCTTTTAAAATATTTAGTTTTGCTTATGGTAGTAAAAAAAAAAAAAGGCTTCTGTTGCTTGAAACAAAACTGCAGCTCATAATGATTTTTATCTCCTTTATCCATCAGAAGTCAAGCAAATATAAGGAACAAGTTGTGAGAGATATGGCCTTGGTTTTTGAAGATTTCTAATGTCACATGATTTTGTTCTATTTAAATAAAAATTATTCATTAGCTACGTAAGATAAGTAACTAGTTTGTTTTGCCTTTACCTCACAAAACTTTTCTTCTACATTACATTACAAATCAGAAAATACAGAAATTGGTCACTATGGAAGATATGAAAATGTGGGCATAAGTCATGTCCCTTTTGGAAGAAGAATGGGGAAGGCATAGGTGTGCAGAACCACAGAGCAGATAAGCTGATGCCTCTATCAGCTGATGAAGACCCAGGCAAGGGTAAGAAAGTTGAAAAAATAGTCCTCTCAAGAAATGTTAATAATCATTTAAAGATCTGCTATTAGCATAGATCTGGAAATTAATTGTAGTAGAAGTATTTACTGTCTTCTATACTTCGTGCAGATTCTTCCAGAATATCTTAGGAGGATTAGGCTCTTGCCTACAGCACCTCTGGCCCTTGAAAATAACAACAAATAAACCAGATTCACTGATATTTACACAGTGTGCATTTTTTCAGAGCTGTTAGGAGTTATCAAATGGGAGAAAGCCCTGCAGATATAACAGCACTAGAAACTCTTGCCCCTTGTGCTGATAGTTGGGGAAGGATACTGTGGGAAAATTTTCTAAGTATTACACTTGGACACTGCCTGATTGAAATGGTTACGTGATGTAGGTGACCAATAAAATCCTTAAGATCCTTTTAATAAAATATTTTCTTTCCTCCATATTCTTCATATTACCCTAGGACCTTCAAAAAGCCACTGAGATCTGAAATGGTTTCTGGTTGCTATGAACAGCATTATAATCTTAAGTACAGACACTGGTGTAAAACTCCCCAAAAGTCAGGGCGTTTAGGACCTGAGGACCCGCGCAGGAGTTGCACGTTCAGGCTGAGCAGAGTTCAAATTCCAACTTCAGCTGTACTGAAAAGTTGACCGGCCCTTAGCTCTTAATTTCTTTGTATTTATTATCTCATTTAATTGAAACAACATTCTTATGAGACATGTAAATAGCTTCCCCAAGTACATCGATCAGTGGGAGGCAGGATGTAGACCCTGTCAAACTCTAAATCCTGACTCTGCACAATGTGCTTTATGGCCTTATGTAGAACTTGGCTCCAGCTGTATTTTACCCCTTTGTAATTTCATGACCATGACTCCGTATCTTCTCTCATTTATTATTTCAGAAGTTTGAGGACAGTCTAATTTTGTTATTTTATAATTAATTTTTTTTACTTCATTTACTTTCTGTTTATTTTGTCTCTATCTGGATCCTTAAGTAATTTTCTTTGCTTGTATAACACAAAAGTTTTGTCATAATACACACGGATACATATTTTCTCAATTTAGCTTCAATCATAGCAAAGACTTCCAGTCTCTACAGAGTATCTTTTCTCCTTCTCAGTTGTTTTTGTTTTAGCTTCTTGCCTAATTTTTCTGGGGTTGTAGTCCACAATACCCAGCCTCTTAGGTCCAATCTCTATTCTTAATCTCCTCTGTCTACTGTCCTTTCTCATTTTCTTTGTTCTTTTTTTCTCTAGATTTTGTGGAAACCTCTCAGGTTTAGATTTTCTCTGGTGTTAATGTTGATTTTTATCAATTCCTCTTTTCCTTGCAAATGATTTTTTAATATTGTATTTTACATAATTCTTACATCACTTTTCATTTTTGCACAATGTATGCATTTTCATTTTGGTTATATTCCCCATACAATTCCAACCCCCTTACTTTGACCCTAATCCCACTTCTTCCCCACCCCTACTGTGTCAAATGATGTTTTATTGGAGCACAGCCACAGCTGTGTGTTCTGTGTTGTTCATGGCAGTTTTCAGGCTAAAATAACATGGTGGAGTAGTTGAGACAATGTAGACCCACAAAGTCTAAAACACTTATTTGTTGGCCCTTTATAGAAAAGGTTTGTTGACCTAAAATTTCAATAATAAATCAGTTATCTAGCATTTCTCAGAATTTCATGACTGCTTTCTAATTTTTATTAAGATATAATTGACATATGGGCCTCCCCGGTGGCGCAGCGGTTGAGCGCTGGGTTGCGAAGCTGCCCGTAGCCTCTGCATCGCCGGTTCGATCCCCGGCTGCTCCCCGGCCACCAGAGGAGGGTCCCACATGGTGCGCAGACCTCTCCTGCCACCCGCTGCTCCCCTCAGCAGTGTGCTTCGGTCCTTCTGCCTGTTCTGCTCCCCGCTCTGGCTCTGGTGAATTCTCTCACCTTCCCGCGCTTCTAACTGTACCCAGTGCTTGTATAAATAAACAGATAAATAAATAAATAAATAACTAAATTTTTTAAAAAAGAAGAAGATATAATTGACATATAGCATTGTATTAGTTTCAGATGTACAACATAATGATTTTATATATATTTATCTCAAAATGATCACAAGAGGTCTACTCAACATCCCTCACCACAGAGTTACAATCCTGTTACTCCTTAATTTTGCTGTAGTTCTTGTTTCCTGTCACTATTTTTTGCTTTTTAAATTTCATATTGATAACCTTTTAATTTTAATATGCTTATTACTTTCCAATGCATTTCAATAGAGGGCATGGCTTTTTATGTCCTATAGGGATCACCCATGGTTTTCTGGTTTCCAGAGTAAATCATTTTCAAGAGTCAGTTATTTGGAGCCTAAAGGATTATTATTCCCTAAGTTTTGCAGTATTTAAAAAAAAAAGCAGAACTTATATGCTGGGATTTCTCTTTATTCAATCTAAGATTTGGCATAAGATGCACTGTGTAGATTTCCTTGTGTCCTCCCCACTTCTCCTCTAGCTCTGAGGTCAAGGGGTGGGTGGTGACCCCCCACTGATGCTGGTGCCTGTCAGGTCAGGTGCAGGCCTCTTGGCTGGACACAGGTGGAATTTTCTCACTACACTAAACACTTCTCAACATCCACAATCACCGGGAATCTCCCTGTCTCTGCTCCAACCTGCACAACTTTATTTTCAGGAGTCACACCCACCAGATGCAAACGCCACAGCCAGAGGTTCTTCCATGTCCTCACTCCAACTTTCTTTTCTGTCACCCCTGGAGCTGTGTTCTTTGAGTAAGTACCAAGAAGTGGTGTATTTGCCTCCTTGGGTAGGGGAAGAGCCGAAGGAGTAGGGGCAACAACACTCATTTTTGTCTGGTTTAGACTTGGGATCTACAAATAAGGGAAAGACTGAGGGGTGGGGACAAAATATCTTCCATCTTCTGCACTTCTAATGGGTAGGCAGGGCAAAGCTTGGGGCAGACAACTTACTGATTTTCCTAAATTCTCTTTACTTATCATTAGTGGAAAGTCCTGCAGGATTCTGATACAAGAGTGCCTATTACTCACTTTTTGGTATTTTTTTTCTATTTGCTCAGAGAAATTTTAGTTATGGGTGGTTAAGCAGATGCCATTTTTTGCCCTTCAACACCAAACCAATCCAAAACATATTCAACACACCAAAAAATGTGGTGTTTTCTAGAAACATTCTTGTCACCATGATGAAGTCAGTTAAAAGTGCTGTGTGTCTCAGAGCTTCATAAGGCAGAAAGCAGAGGCATCCCGGTCCTTACCTTTCTCCACCTTGGGAAACGTATGCTATGCCGCAGAAACCGTTGTGCTTTTGTTTGCTTTTTGTCTTGGCACATTCTGCTCTTCTCTGTCTTAAGTGCTCTTCCCATCCCTCAGCTGGTTAGTTCCTACAGACTCCACCAGGCTCGGCCGAGACACAGCACAGATTCGGTTGAAGAGCCAGCTCTGTGCAGACTGCCAGAATCATAGGTTAAGTCCTATGATTTGAAGAATTCAATCACTCGATTCATTCCCTTGAGAGTCCTATAATTTTTTTACTCCAGTTGAGGCGTACAAAGTATGCTTAAAGGAGAGGCAGCAGGAGGAGACTACAGAGGACAGTGTTACCCTGTAGGGGCTGCGTTAATTTGTTAGGGGCTGC